GACACCACAATGCTGTTTGGTGTTCAGTCTATGCTCCCCATGTACACATACGCACAACAGGTCTCATTATCAGTCAGTTGGAAGTTATACTAGATGAACAATCAACAATTTTAATAACAAATATTTGTCCCTCAATGCTTTTTTGACAAGATATTCACGCCATTTATGGTACGGTTAATCTAATTTGATTTGGTTCTCATCATGAGTGAGAATCATTCGACGAAATCATGCATCTAGTTTTAAGATAGTTGGCAACAGAAACGATAACCATTATAATTGGGATCAAAGTAGTGATAATGATAAGAACAAGATTCATATTACAACTTACTGCGATATCCAAGTTATACACTTATATTTTATTAGATTTTAGACAACAGTGCGAACAAATGGTGGTGAGATAACATGACGTTGTTTGGTTAGGGGTTGCTGCACAGTCTATAATGGTAGAAGATGAATAAATCAGCGATACAAAGATAGTGAGAAGGTAAACGAAGCACTACAGAGATGAGCAGGGATGAAGGAGATGAGGAGGACTAATTTCTTTGGAAGGACGAAAGATGAAGGTGCTAGTTGCCATATTGTAACGGGGATAATTGTCAAGTAGTAACTGCTAGATGTTGATTGAAGTCTGTTGATTGGATCCAATATGTGGCCATCATGTTAGATGATAGGGCACTTCAATGTTATGTATTCAGTGTTCGAAGTTAAGAGTGAGTCGACAGAGAGCTGTGCTGGACCTGGCTTTCATGTTTGCTGGCAGTCACTGTAACACCTCTATGACACTGAGTATTTTTCCTCGTGGACCACACCAAAAGTTTAGTTCAGCCGGTGTCTGGTTAGGATAATTGTAGAATTTCTTAGTTCTGCACTGAATGAGCCTGATTTAAATTGTCATAGGAAAATCAGGTTTCTTTTTAAAATAATTTTTTTGAACACATTTCAGGACTGAAACAATCCGAAAATTTTCGGATTTATCTCTGTCACACATTACTCACTGTCAAATTTTTAAAGATAAAGAAAGCTTTTTAACTTACATGTAGTCATTTGGGTTGCATTTTTTAGGTTTCGCTTAGTTTCTCATAAGCAACAGTGATAAATATCTCTGGAGCTCAACCTTGATTTGTCTGCCGATGATTTGCATATCGGATGTGAAACAGAACAAACTAGTGCCAACCATTTTCAAAGTTCTCTTCCATTTTCATCTCATTCATTCATACAAAACAAGTCAGCAATAAAAAGAAAACAGAAACTTGGATAATACAATCAGGCTAAGAAATGCTTGATGTTACTATCAGTGAAATGACTTGTAATTCTAAACTGTGATGGGTAGAAGAACAGATAAAACAGAGGCAAAAACCACAAAGCGATAAGGACATCTTTCCTGACAAAGGTTCTTTGAAACATAAGAGACTCACTTAAATGTAATAACTTGAATTTCTCATTTTCATAGTCTTTTACTTTTCTTGTCAACACAAACATTTTGTAGACTGAATATGGTGTTTCAAGGTGATATTCATCATGGACTGACATCCGCTGGTGAGTCATTGAAAACCCGGCAGCTTTGGACAGTGATTTCATGGTAGTTTGCGACTCCTCTGTGGTACGCATCTAAGACCTCACCCGGGATAGAGCCCAGGACCTTAAAATCAGTCAGTCCTTACAAACCTTCAAAGTGAATCACCATCGAATACTCATTAGTGATACTCCTGGAGATGGATTTCGCGAAGTTCTCATGATAAGCTGTATCCTTTAAGTTCAACCGAGTCGGGTGTGAGGACAAATATTTAACTATAGCCACATTATGTCATAAATTCATAGAAGTATGAGACATTGAACCGTTGGACTCCTACCAAGAGTTCGAATAGAGAATTGCTCACCACGATATCTGACGTTGCTGGGATCGATACCCGATGGGGTCGTAAGTGCATACTACTGAGAACAGCAATACAAGGAAATGACAACTGTCCACTACTCCGGGATTTTCAGCTGTTCTCCATTTAAAGTCACTTTATGATTACTACTACGATGAAATTACTCAGTTCCCACAAACTTCTAAACTGACTACAGCATCGTTTGTAGGTCTTTGTAGCTTACTATTAGTAAATAGAATATATACACACCTTCAGTCTACCTACGTTACTTGATGATATGTTAGTGGCTTCATTTACATCGACACAGGGAAATCATATCACAGATGTCTAGTAGTCAGGACATTATGATGCCGTAAGCATTTTAATTTTTTTCTTACTGAATGATATTGTCATAAAATATGCATCTCCTTGAACCTAGCTGGTGGCTAATGGAAGTATGAGATCTGTACTCTATAGTAGAATTTATGAAGAGAAATTCGGTATTCGACCTCTCTCTTCACTCATCTACATTAGTCCTTAGAAAATTACTCTGTCCCGAAGTACTTTGAGGTTTTATGTAGTGGCATGCATAACAGCGAGTAAATTCTTCTCTAGATTACTCATCTTAGTAGGTCGGTCCGGAATTAGCCAGACTCCCGTGTACTGCTAACATGACTGACCCCGGTTGGCTAGTCTGACTTATGTACCTGATTTAACAGCCATCACAACGTATTTGGTGAATCATGTTATTTTATCCAGTTGGATCAGTAGACTCCTTAAGCCGACAAAGTTTGCCCTTAGATGAATTTCTGAGTATGAATGTCAGGAACTCTAGTGGTAGTCTGATTGAGAATCTTTAGTAGGGTTTTTGAAGTCCGTTCCTTATATGGCAACTATATCGGAGGCGTGAAATTCCTTCTTAGTCGTGTTGCAATTTGTAACACTATAACTACTACTATATCATAACTTTGATAATGCTGCTAGTGTTAAGTAGGTGAACATCAGTTGAAACAAATTTGTTTTGTTGCATATTTATTGCGAAGTACAAATACCAAAATAATGAATATGATTTATCTAGTGCCCAAATTTTCCAAACCATCAAACCCTAACTTGGTTTGAATATCTGTAAACAAGTAATTCTTCTTTATCATCTTCTAACTCAAAAGTATATTGTATCCCGTCTACCACAAAGTTTGGGGGTCTGAAGAAGCTATGAACACAGTGAATACATCGTCCACATTTTCATGGTAGAATTAAATGCCCCAAGTTGTCGGATTATCTTGATATGAATATGAGCAATGATTTGTGCTCGAAACATCATCCAATAAGTGATCCTTTGTCGCTGTGTGTTATATAAAATAGACTAATCTCATATGAATTCTAGCTAATTTGCTTTCATCAAACACTAAATAGGTGCATCATATGCTCAAGTGACTTTCTTTTGTCATATTTCAATAGAAGAAGTAGAGTTCTTAAATTGTCATTGTGTGAAACTTTCTGAAGTACTCTAATGATAAGCTCAACTAATTCGGTGCAGTCACAACAATAATTATTTCAGTAATTGTACTTCTCAATGAATTAACAAATAACCTTTTCTTGCAAAACAATCAGTAGTACTTAAAAGTAGTCTAAGGTGTATATGGATTTTATTCATTTCACAATAGTGTTTACCATGAATTGATATCAGTTGGAGATCTGATTAAAAGCTGTGATCTGTGGGGTCAACTAGTTGGAGATAAAGCGGAGTCTTACTGAAGACTATTGTGGATAATCTCACTACATCTAGAATTGACAGAAGTAGGAAGCTGTGGACAGCTGAACTCTGACTTAATGGTTGGATGTTTATCGCTTTTGACAGGAAACATGAATGTCCTGAGTTTGGCCCCTGGCAAGGTTATGGGTGCGTATTGCTGAGAAGTCTTACACTAGTACGAAACATTGGTCCAGTGCTCCCAGCTTTTCAATGATTCTCCAAAAGATATCCTTACCTTAAAATTTAACTAATGGTTAAACTTTTTTCTAACCACTAATTTTCAACTTGGTCCGGATAAATACATAAAACAGTTATATTTACTCAGGAAGACGAAATTGTTTACACTATGTTCTCTTTGTAAGGGAGATAAGTACTGAACTTGTTCGAGGAAAACTTTCCAAAGTATAAATTGCCTCATCTTAATTATCCACAATAATAAATGTCATGATGCCTGAGTCCACAAAACCTTTTTGCATCCATGCTGCCAGGTTAGAATTCCATGTTTCACATTTTAAATGAAAGTTCTCGATTTTGCGCTCGGCCGTATGTTTGTTTGTACTGATGAACATCCTTCAAATGTGGACGAAAAGCTGTCAAGTATGCAGAAAGTTTTCAGTGATTTCATACCTGAAAAATCATCTGAGAATCAGTCAATTCTCCTTATATCAGTCAAGGATTATATCAGTTATTGAATTCACCTTATGAACAATGGATCATAAACATTTAGAAAAATTTGGTAAACAGAGTAAATATTTTTTCTAACAGTGTGAATTCATGTGTTTAAGAGGTAATCTGTAAACAGAATTAACTGAAACCACCATTCAGGTAATCCGTTTATCTCGACTGTTTATTCTCTGTGATATTGAAGTGTTTGTTACTCGACTATGTAAACATGGATGTTCACTATTTAGATACCAATATCCAGAATAATTTAGTCATTTAGGTAAATATTGTAATCGACGAAATCGGATATAAACACTGAATGCTGATATACCTTGCAGAAGACCTGGAAAATCCATAGGATTAAACTTCAGAAGAATGATGCATCTGCGAAGTGCTGTCTTTCTTTCTATCCAGTCGGAGACAGAAACAGTTTTCAGCACTAACTGTATCTCATTACTGAGTTTCTGGGCTTAGTTTTTGTTAAACGTGCTTGAAATAAATATTTTGCGCACACAGTTCCCCTAACAATTAATTTCTTCAGCTCAAGAGAATGGTCAGATATGACCAGGGCAAGAGTCTCAGTAAAAAAAGAAGCAGGAAATATATTCGCAAAATAATAGAATGAAAATTGATATTAGCTTGCCATTTATTTCTTCGCATTTTACTACTTATATATAAAGAGTAGTTACATTTTAGTGTCTTAATTTAAACTTGATTTTCTGGTTCATTTTTAGGTCTGCGATATCAGAAAAAAGAAACACTGAAATCCACTGGAATTGAAAGTAATGGTGAGAAATTTATTGTTTAGTTCAGTGATGTTAAAACAAACCGCTAAAGGATCTACTTAAACCACTGCCAAGTAATTATGCAATAGTGACTACTCTTCTTATTAGTTGTAACTCCATTGGTATCTGGACTATGGCAGTTATAGTGACTCTTAAATTTCTCTCAGGCTGAACCTAACTTAGTTTCCAGTGGACGTTGTGATAGACAGTGACCAGGAATGCGTAACACATATCCCAGAGACCTCGGTTGATGAAGGTCCGCAGCCTTATCAACTGACTCCTCTTCTCACTGAAACTCTACACCTGACATCCACATTACTGATATAGTGACACCACGGCACGCGATCTATAATACAAAAGCAATTTTGGCCAAGAACTTGGGGCCTTCTCTTTTCCTTCAACTTTAATAGCCGTGTTTCATAGCCACATAGCAGATCAGAATGAATCGCAGCACAGTACACTCATCCCTTAATAGACAACTGGATATCACGGCGGTGACATATATGGCTTAAGTTGGTGAAAGTCAACGGTTGCCTTTATGTCCGTGTATAGATATACCATGGATGAACTGACTACTCAGCTAAGTGAAGTATTCAAAGCACTTAGTCATTTCACTTACTACTGTTAAAACAAGGCACCACAGAAGACAAGTGCTGGAACAGCAAAATTGTCATTCAAGGTGACCTGGAGACTTTACATCTTGTCAGCGTCTTCGCCTAACGCAAATATGTCACCTGCATACTCTACATGTAATTACATTCTTTCTTAGGAAAAGTTAATCCATGTAGAGTAGAATGAGGAAGGGGAGACCTCCATAAGAACGCCGATGACAAAGCTAAATAAGAATGGAAATAGTAGACATCCTTTATGGACACCACTCACTGTATAAAACTTAACTGACAACTTACCACAGGTTCTAACCAACCAAGGAGTGTTTGAATGCAGAACCTTTAATAAACAGATGTACTTACAAGGGACTCCTTTCATTCAGAGATACTGCCATGAGACCTCTCAGTTAAAGGAGCCGAATGCCTCCTTCAGGTCCAGAGATAGATTTAGTGTCAGGGCTGAAAATTGTGTCCGTGTTTCAAGATTTGGTTGATACAACCATCGCCAAGTTTGGAATCTGCTGGTTTTCTCTAATTTACTGTTACTAAGCTTCACTTAGGCGTCTAATGTTTATAGAACCGAGAATATTAGACACGAAAATAGTCAGATTGAATCTCCGGTAGTTATCTCAAAACAGTTTCCTTCCTTCGTTGAAGACTAGGACAGTCAGTGATTGAGGACAGTGAGAGGGCATCATATCTGGTTGCGATGCACTTTCTAACACTTTGGTTAATTTTACCAACTGACCTCAACAACTGTCCTTAAATACAACTGATGTTAGCATATCTGCCACTGCTGTCATTCCTCTATTCAAATTACCTGCATCTTTCTCAACTTCTATGAGAGTTGTGGCGTTTATCTCAGCATTTTTGAGGATATGACCCGGTAGTAGGCAAAAGAATGGTAGTTGGAGGCCAGCTAAGCGTTTCCTCGAAGTATTTGACCCATTATACTAATCATCCCTTCTGAAAGTAAATATCAGACCCACATTTCTACCCTATTGTCTTACTAGCAGCTGACGTTTTTAGCTTAGATTCCTTGATATGTTCAAATAGTAGTCCTTTTCACCTGTTCAGCCTACGCTGCTCAACACTGGTCACGGTAATTGGGGATACTGTTTTTAAGTCTATTATTGAGTTGCTTCCCCTCCTCATTGTGGACTGGACCTGCAGGGATGCTCTTGCATACATCTCTGACCTCCAAAGTGGCTCATAATATCCACTGACTCTTCCTCACTTTTATCTAAGGGTCAGTTACGGTCTTAAACGCTATTTTTGCAGCAGACTGGGATTGATACCAGACTCTTTCAGGATGACAGGTATTTCTCTAAACCAATAACTATTAGGCCAGCTTCTCTCTGAAAATGGCCTTAGTATTCTTATCACTGAGTTGCTTTTGGAATGATCCTTTTTGCTCCTCCTTTTTTACTTCCATTGAGGACCAGAAACAATCTTGATCACTCTCCAAAAGCGTACCCTAGAAGGGCCTGAGACCTTGAACCAACTCTCTCTAGAGACATATGATAGTAATATGATATATTTATGTCCACCGCTGAGTTGAGTTCCGTGGGTGCTACGAGAGACAGTATCTCTTCTTATGTTCAAAGCGTTTACTGACCAGAACTAGATGGTTGTTGCAGCACAGTTATATCAGGCTATTGGCCTTATCTGTTCGTTTGACTGAGATTAGGAAATTGCTATCTAAGCGCCTCTCCATCTGACTTAGCCTACCAACATTTGGATGGAAATCACCTGCTACGACAACCATATCCGGACGTCTATCTTTCAGCAGGAGGCCGGAAAGTTTTCGGCAGAACTCATCTGAAAGTACTGACTTCACAGGGTTGACCCGCTCCCTGGAGGTTATCTAGTTAACTTACAGTATACAGACTATATTGTGCTGTTAGATGAAGATGATGACAAATGCAGTCTTCTGAACGCATTGAGCAGATAGCTAAGTATGTTTGGCATGCTTCTCGAACCTGTAGTGAAATATAAGATGATGCTTCAGGACTGGTCTGCTGTAAGTACTCCTAGTTTAATGATAGGGAGTGTAGTGGTGGAATGTCTTGAACAGTTCACTTAACGATCTTTATTATCCAGAACGGGTTGGTTGCTGACGAAATCTCAGTTCGGATGCAGAAAACTGGCTTAGAATTCGCCCAGCTGCATCACCCTTGGTACAGACTGGAGAGATGTTTGACTGCCTTTCAAAATACGAATATACTGCACTGCAGTCAGTCCGGTCCTGTTATACGGGTGTGAGATATGGCTGTTGAGAGTAGATACGAAGAGACTACAGGTTTTTGATCATACGTGCCTTCGTAGTATTGCGTTCGTTTGGTGGAATTACCATGTGAACAGTGTTGAGGCCAGATGAAGGGTATGAGACAAGACAGGAAAGTTGACTAATATGTCTTAGACATGTGTTGCGCATGCCCAGCAACCAACCATCTCGACGTTGTATGCCAGGCTAGGAAAGTTGGATTAGGTTGGAAGAGGGTTAAATATGGCCAGACCAAGACGTGGCACCAGTCTATGAAGTCTCCAACTGTTGGTCTAAGTCGTGTGGGGTGATGGAGACTGCCTGGTTTTGGTCCTCAAGACGAAAGGAATCAGTGATTGAGAACTCTTGGTGAAATGGCTGGAAATCAGTCATATTGGCGCAAATATATTTACTCTCTGATACCTTCGTAAAGGTTGAATATTCACACTAACCTTCAGCTTCAGATTGCTATTCTGTCGCAAAAATTTGTCAACTTTGATGTCATTCCTTTTGTGTCCCATTGTTCTTTGTATACTGCCGTGAAGTGTGGTAGCTCGAACCGATGTACCCGTGTGCGAGGTTCTACAGCAATTTTTTCAGTCAGTCAGTCAGTCAGTCAGTCAGTCAGTCGGTGTGAGTGAAGATTACAAAGAAATAGCAGGGAGTTTTATTATCCTTCCCAGTCACCACTATACTGTTTACTCTATTCTTGGTTTTATGGTTATCGTAATGCTCTGCATGCCTAGCAGAGTATGGATCGGTTGTAGAATTTAACAGATTCTCAGTAGGAAAATGAAAATAATCAAGGTAGGAAGTTCAAACAAAATGTATATATACGTTTTTGTTCGATTAGAAATCGCTGGTAAGTTCTACTGCAGTTCATGGAACATTACATTTAACTGCTTGTCTTAAATTGTGTGTACTTAATATATCCACTCATTCCAGCTGGCCTAGACTCTATTTGGGGGATACATTTCTCTTCATCTACACTCTTTTGTGTCATTAGGCACTGAGCTTAGTAACATTTCAAATAAATCATTTCTAGGCATCGATGCATAAAGACTTAGGCGGAGGTAAGCCATGAAGATGAAGAGTTACAGACACAGGAATCAATTCTCCATACAGTTCCAGAATACGTGTTACTAGTGTCATTAGAATCAGGTATGATAATACAAACCGTAAGTTAGTGAACTAACTGAAAACCACTGGATCTCAGGGTTTGCACTCAGCTTGTGTATATGCTGATTAGAAGGGGTGTTCTGAAGAGCATGTATTGGTGGGGTGGCTGTATTTCACTCAGACAGCCCCTTGGACTAGAAGAATGAAGGACTAGAGCGAAAAAATAAGCCAATCACTCGACAAGCAAACAGAACTTACTTACATTTTATAATTAATTACAAGTAATTGACGTTAATAGTGCGCAAACAAGATGTAGGCAATGGAAATATTATAGGGTTTTTGAAATGCTTAAGAAATATCTGGTGTAGAGTTGACTACGTAAGCAAAAAGCATTTGAACGAGTCTTTTGCTGCCTTGGACTATGTTTACCATACTGATCATCTGATTCACAAGATTGGTTCTACCAAATCTCATTTTATTGCATCGTAACATTTTCTTCTTAAGCGACTAGGTTCATTCACTTTGTATCGTATCCATCCTCTCACATTTGATGTGAATCATGTTGATGTTTCTTGTTTCCTATGATTTTCATTTAGTTACTTTGAAGTAGAATTACCACGTATTCAGGTGACCATTTGTTCATCTTGCGCTACTTTCTGGCAGTTAGTTTTCTTTATTCTACAGTGCAACTGTTCATTCAACAGTTAGCGAAAGTTGGACGTGTGATCTCATCCAAAATTTTTTTGTTCATTTATGAAATTTAGCTGAATGTAAATTAGCTCAGCTTAGTCTCAATATTCCGATAATCCACTGAGATAATCCGATTAGCTGTGAGAACTGTGATGTGGCATTTTCTGTTATCCTTATCAAGTATATTTGTTTGTCAGTCAGACTCTATTCTCTCTACTTCCGACTACTGACTGGCTTTTATCGATCGTCTGTAATGTGACCGTTATACCAAGCAGAATTACTTGACAGTTGGAGTAAATTCGCAAGAATCTCATTCTTCCTTTGACAAAACAAAGAAAATTTACTTCCCCAAGTTTTGCTCATAAAGAAAGTCATTGAAGGGAGGTGAAGATATATCAAATAAGTAATATTCAACGCAAAGAAGAAGCATGTGAGCAGAGAAGTTGTCTTTGAAATCATTCTTCACAGTAGCTAAGGAATGAGCAAAATGACTACTTACCAGTATAACCAGTGTTATAATTGCATTTTACGGTTGCAACTTTTGAGAAACCCAGTGATCTAGTGGGTGATGCCTTGGTATTTAAAGTCTCGGGTGTTGTATTGGTCGGAACAACAACACTGTAAAATGGGGTATTCCGGCTGACGAGTCCCAAGTTGGACGAAACATGCGTCCTTTACTTTAGTACTGAAGACTACCCATCACTGCCAAGAAAGGCTTAAATCACATGATGTGAGGCCTTTTCTCATACTATGCACATTAGTGACTAACAGGAATGCGCTGAAATTTTATGATTATCCTTAATTTTTTATCTTTTAATATTTTACATCTACTGCTGAGGAGTTCGGTACTGGGACGAAACGGCTTTCTGTTGCTCTCAGGTTTTCACTGGTTTTCCAGTTAATATTAGTCTCTGATCACTACTACCTTCAAAATAAAAGTCCTCATTAACTTCAAACTGCATTATTGTTCACGGATTTGAAAACTATCTTCAGTTGACTAGACATTGAACCTGCAGACACTTACATTACATAATTAGAGGTAAGAAATTCAAAATATTGTTTACATTTGAGGGACAAATACAGTAAGATATCAATCACCTAGGATGAGACAACTGGACACTTAATCAAGTTATTTAAAATAATAGGGATAAGTATATAAACCCAATCTGTAAGTGGAATGCATTAAAAACTTCAAGGATAAGAAAAACCCAACACCGGTGAATATCCTCCACTGACCAATCAGGACAATTAATACAGTCCTACAGAAGATTCATCAAGTCGTGATTCAAACAGTGATACTTCTGGTTGAGACGCCAAATAACACTACCCACCAAGTAGACTACAATGTAATGAGTAATTAGTCAGTATTGAGACATCCAGATAAGAGCCCATCTGCTAGGAGAGGTTGAGCAATTCGACCAGTATAGCAGCGGTAGAATACATGTATGGAGCAACAATAAATTAAAATCATTGTGGAAGAAATGACCTCTTCTAAATTCTGAGCATGACTTACTAACGAGACCTAACAAGTACGAAAGATGGAATGGACAAAGTTTTGTACTGATTGCTTCCAATCATCTGACATTAAATATAGTGAGTTACCAGATTCAGTTATAAATTATGGACTACAGTGAAATTTTGATTAGTAGTCTTCTTTCAGCTGGGAAGATTAGACAGTGACTAGCTCATGAGATAACATATTGCTTAAGGTGGATCAACTAACCATTCAACTCATAAATCTGCTTTAGTGATTATCTAAAATGTTTCATTCAGCATTTGTTCATTTCTGGAACGCTGAGAATTGCACCGCGTAGGTAATATGATCACAAATTATTTTTAATTTAGTTACTGATATGGTATGACGTATGCATCTAAGTATTTTAGTAAATAATTTCAGAGAAAATTCTATTCGCTTTAAACTTTTAAATCTATCTACCAAGTACTTCAGTCATGTATAGTAAACGGTCATCAGTTGAGTAGTTTTGGTAGTTAAACCATTAATCAAGTGAGTTGGAATAGTTGAATATAGATCGAAGCATGTAATACACATATAGAATACCTGTCAAATATTTAATATTTACTTTTATAATGATCGTACATTAGTCAGGCAAAAAGAATCCTATTTCTTGGCCATTCAGTTGCTGTGTCCGTGTTATCAAGATGGTATAGTATATGACTATAGTGATTAGTCTGATGTATTCTTATTGTCATTTTACAAAGAAGTTTTATACGTATATAGGTACCTTGATGTAACTTTGCCTGGCAAGTTTTTAAAGTTACCTTTCGCTCTTGGCATTAAATCTCAGACGCATCATAGTCATTTAAACAGCGTAATGAGGAGATGAAATATATATATATATATATATATATATATATATATATATATATATATATATATATATATGATGTATTAAGCGCTATAGTCATTTAAGTCTGAACTGTATGACTCATAGTCTAGTGCAGGTGGTCTTATCACTTATTGTATATGACTTACGTTGCTTTAATTAATATTTGCCTCTGAAGTCGGAGAGAGATGACTGACATATTCACACGTATTTAGATAATCATGTCTAAATTCTAGTTCATGTATGATCGTATGTATTCAGTTACCTACTCCAGTCCTAAACTTAAATTTTTAAAAGTTGGTGTAAAAAGAACTAATCACAACACCTGTTCATCGACATGCAGGTCATAGTTGTTACAAATGTCCTGAAAGAAGTTGAGCGTCGAGTCAGGTTGATTCATTACATAGGTAAGTCTTAATATAATCCCTGTTCATCTTTTCACTTTTGGGTCAAAAAAACGTTATTCGAACAGTGATGTGGATAAGAATAGCATATCATGTGAAACTACAAACGCCATATTTCCTAAGGATAAATTAACCAATGAACATTATAGAAATGACAGTGGAAATGACAACATTTCACAACATATAAGTCTGACAAACCTTTTCCTCTGACTTGAAATCAACTTTTTCATTTTTGTGCTGTCAATATAAGATTTAGCATAAACTGAAGTAAATATTGACTGATTAGTGTTACTCATTTAAGTACTCCATTCAATCTTGTGAGCAATATTCAACCGGTATATACTCCATCACACAACGTGAAAATTACAGTTCGTCAAAGTGGGATTACCGATCAAAGCAGCATAAATACAGCACATAATTGCATCTTTGAAAAACAGAAATGTTTCGTTTTACCAATAGTTTCTCTCTACATCAGTTATCAACTCTGGTAAGTCTGTGTTGTTTACCTGTGGTAATTTAAGCGTAATTCTATGTCTTATGAAATTTGCTCTCAATAATTCGCATGATTTTTTAATTTTCTACGCTGGTTTAGACCTCATCAGCTGCAATTTATGAACCATTTAATTCAGAAATCCAGTATTCTGCATTGACGTCAATAAGTTTGAATACTACCGGTGCTATTGGAGTTAGGCCTATAACACCTGTTGTTACCGCTGCAACTGGTACCATCTCCACCACTAATACTACTGTCATCAATCAAGAAAGTAGTACAGTTCATGAAAATAACAATTTACCAGTACGATGCAAGTCATTAGAAATAAAACCCTCTGAAAAGTCTTTGACTAATTCAATAACAAAGAAACGTCATAGAAGTACGGTTGATAATGGATGCAGTCATTCGAATACAATAAATCCTGCAATAAATTTAACAATTCATAGTTCTAAAAGTAATTTATGTTTATCGCATGATGGAGAACAAAGGAATCAAGAAGACTTTAAGACTGATAAAAAGAGACGTAAAACGGCAGAAAATACTGTGAGTTATTATTATTATTATTGATACTATTATCGTCTTCATTACAATTATTATTGTAATTTAAAGAGGCCTATGTGATCATCATTGAGATGTCATGGTTGAGAAACATGTCGACCTAAGTATTTTTGCATCAGGCTTCATCACATCTAGGTATCGTTCTTTGACTTTTTCAGCGTACATGATTCCGTACCGAAGTAGGGTATAGTGCTAATGTACCATATCAATCTTAATTCAGCTCTTTATTGGGAAACGAGAGTTCGGTTTGTTTATCAACTGTGCGTTCTGTAACAAAACGTAATAAGACACAATACTGATGAGTATCGATGGGTATGAAACCTGGATGCAAGTTTCTTCTCAAATCTTATTGACTAATTAGCATACAGTACAGCACAGTGTTAAACCACTTAGATTAGTGGATTAGTTGCAAAACTTACTCAGCAGGATTTAGTCATTACTGAAAGTTGGAAAGTATAGAATTAAAAACTCCCTAATGGTTGATCAGTGTCCAGGATAATTAACCGTTTGAGTAAGCAAGCCATTACAGCTTAGAAAAATACTACACGTAGTTACATTTTAGTTTATCATCAAGTAGGACGTATAGAACATCATCTTAATAGTGTATATCTTGAATATAGAAGTACATACTAAGCTGTAAGCTTTCACTGAGATAGACCTACTGATTAATTTTTGTCATAAACTGGAAAACATGGGCCATCATGTTCCAACCCACTGATGAATCGGCCGGATGCTTGCCATGAGACTTAATGATCCTCAGCAAGCTTCAGATGTACAGTATTATGGTGTCACAGGTGAAGACGGAGTAGTAACTCAGTGTTCCCTGGCTTCCATTGGCTCTCCAACCAATGTTGGCTAGCAGTGACACCTGCTTTGTAATCGATGAATTCCTAAAATACTTTCGAAGCGAAGTGAAAAACTTTACGAAGAGAGGTAGTATGATTTGACATCCATATCCTAAAGGTTCTAGAAGTTAGAGTTTTGTTTAATGTTAGAAGTATCTACAACTGAACAAAGAGGCAAACCATCCTAGTGCATTTATAGGGACTATTTGACTCATGAAAAACATTCTTTACCAGTTCAACGAGTGCATAATAATCTTTACTAATTACTAGATGATTTTTAGTCTAAGTTGTCAGTCGACTACTTTTTAGTCACACTTGTCTTACTTTTCTCGTCCGTGGCGATGGGGAATTAGTTCTCATAGTAAAGTACTACTGGCAGTTTTCCAATGGAGTTATTTTTGTTCATCACAAACAACTGAGGTCATTGGAAAACTTTCGTTATCTTTTAATTCTTTAGGTTGTAACGTATTCACCTTTTAAAGTAATAAAATCTCAATCATTGTCACGATTGTCTTATTAGGTTTGAATTATATTCGGCTTCAAGTTGCTATACTGGATTAAATTACTCGTCTGCTGTTGGAAGACGGACACCTATGGGGAGTCCTCGATACTGCCTGATTACTAATTATGTTGAAAACTAGTTGACGGCAGACAGTGGAATCCAGCACTCATGTTTCATCCTATTAGAGACTCATCTTAGCGGGAATACAACCACTCACTGGAGTGCATGTATATCCAGCTGACGAGTCCCAAATACGAAGAAACCTGCTTCCTGAAATCTGCTGCTAGCCATACCAGATTTTATCATATTCAGGTTCCGTTGTTCAAGTTCATGATCTGAGAATATTATTATATTATTATTTGTCCCTTGGGTTCCTAGTGGAATATAGGGCTTCAGTAGCACGCCTCCATTTCAATCTCTTCTCTGCAATCTTTTCAAATTGGCTCCACAACTGCCCACTAGCTTTCATTTCTTCCTCACACCATCTCCTCCATGTCACACTCGCCTCCGACGCCCATCTCATCGTTTCTCCTTTGAGTTCCACTCAAGGGCCTGATCTGGCACATGATGTCCCAAAACCGTCTTCTCAGTGTATGTCCAACCCAACCGAAGCCATCTCCACTTTCTCCTACATATTTGTTGGGTGATGCGTTCTTGCTTGGTTCGTTGCCAGCCAGTTAGCCAGAGTTCCTTCTTGCTTATTCTCTCTGACCATCTGACCTTCAGTATCGAGTGAGCGTAGGCGGCAGCTGTTGATGTGATGTATGTCTGTAGTTTGTTGGGAATGTTTTACGTGACTCGCCAAATCTCTCAACCACCACATAGAAGTACTGACTTACTTGACTGGATTAATGTTGAAAATCCGGATGTTGTTCACACTTTATGCTGAGTGCAATGCAGTGTAGTAGATCTTGGAACTGATTTCAGGTTAATAAATGCCTGTCTTGCTATCTTTCCGATCCTGGCTTTGACGTCGTCATCTATGTCTGTGTCGCCTGTAGTTGAAATGATGCTGCCTAGGTAGGTAGGTGAAAGAGACTACTTCCTTTAGATTCCTCCCGTTGGTGGTGAAGTCCCTTCTCCGCTGCCTCATCTCTTCTGCCAACTTGTTAGTTTTCACCTGTAGATCTTCGAGTTTGTACGACATTAGACATAAATCATCATCAACGAAGTCCAAATCTTCTAGGGTCTTTTCATCGGTCCAGCTAACGTATGCCCATCTTATCACTCCTCACAGTTTGTTGCATGATTAAGTCAACCACAATCAGGAAGATCATCGGTGATATCTGCTTTCCATTGTAAATCACTCGGCATGTAGCATCATATAGCATATAGCTGCTGTTGAATGAGGTTGATAAAGGTTTGTGGCACTAAAACCGTAGTGTTGAAGCAGCTGCCTGCCAAATTACTTCTCGTTCGACGCTGTCGAAGTCCTTTTCAAAGTCGATGAAGTTGAGGTGCAGGTACAGTGGACAGTCATTCTGTGCTCTGTTCTATGATGATGCTTAGAGTAGCGTTGCAATGTGATCCAAAAATGATTTGTTCTTCCTAAAGCCAGCCTATTCCGGTCGTAGTTTAGAATCCAGCTCATACTTTAGCTTCTCCATGATGATGCGTTTTAATATTTTGCTTGGGGTGGACAGGGACAGGAGCATGATTCCCCAACTGTTCTTACGAAGACTTGAGTCAGCCTTCTTTGGGAGTTTGAGAAGGTAGTCCTTCTTCCAATCGCCAGGTACGTATTCTTCCTTCCTTCCAAACCTTCTTAAGTAGTGGTGACGTTAGCATATCCGCTGTTGTCTTTGAGTCTGCTTCCAGTGCTTCTAACAGAATTTCATCTAGTTCTGCTGCTTTCTCAGCTTTCAGCAACTTTATGGCTCTCAAGAATCTACTTCTGCTTTTGTCGGAAGGTTTGTGTTCACAGATTGTTGTGTGGCTGAGCTGCTGGTGGTATTTCTAGACGAATTGCAGGTGGTGGTGGTGGTGGTCAGCCCATTGTTTGCTTTGTTTCTCATCTTTGTAACCAGGTTTCCTTCACTATCTCTCATTGATTTCATCAGCATTGATCAATTCCCTCACAGATAGTGACCTAGTTATTTGATATAGCGTTGTCAGGTCTCTGTCTCTCCTACCTGCAGCCTGCGGCCAGTTCTACTTCACTTGCCAGTGTGTTGTAGAAGTGTCTTTTGTCTTTGCACGCACTCTTCTTCACTTCTGTGTCCAGTGTTATGTTTTATAGGTTGTGTTCAGTTCCTCTTTTCGTTGTTCATCCCTGCACTGTACTGTACTGTACTGCACTGCACTGCACTGCATTGCACTTGACTGCACTGCACTGGTTCATCTTCTGCTTCACCATCTTCCTCTCCCTACTCTGTCAGTTCCCACGTGTCCATCGATATCCGTTCCTTGTCTTGTCTTGATTCTTCTTCCCTCCTAATATGGTTATCCAGGTTTCTTTTCACATGGCTTTCAAAGAATTCCAGTGTTCATCTACACAGATTTCTTCAGGGATGTTGCTCGATATCTCTCATTTTGTCCTGATGACTGGCTGACGTAAAGTTGTGTTTTGTAGTTTCGTCCTTCACTTTCTGTTCTGCATGTTGAACTTGAACTGTGGTCTATCACCAGCTTTCTTGAAGACTCTCAACTTGATTTTGAAGGTTGTGGTGTGAGCCTATATCTGCTCCCCCTTCTTGATCTTGTGTCAAGTAGGCTGCTTCTCAACTTTCTTCAAACTGAAACGAAGTCGATCTGATTTTTAGTGTGTCCTGTTGTCTAGTGAAATGCATGTCGCTGCCTTGTGAATATCCTTGTCTTTGTACACACTGTCTCCAATCACCAAGTCATTAGATGTTCAGAAGTCTGTAAACAGTTCTCCATTCTCGTTCATGTCACCGAGTGTTTCTCGACCCATGATAAGTTCTCTTCCTGTGTTGTCTGTTCCCAGTTTGGCATTCATGTCACCCATTATAATGGATTTTGATGTCGCCATCTGAGGTGGGGTCTCCTCTGTTACTGCTTGCAGTTGTCTGTAGAATTCCTCCTTCTTCTCATGGTCTGCATTGTTTGTAGGTGTGTAGCGTATGTGACTTTTGTTCCTTTTGTTTTGAATCCTGCTGTCATGATCTTGCAGGAGATTGGTTTCCACTGCATGAGAGCCTTCGGTGCTCTTGGGGACATCATGATAGCCACTCGAAAACTCAGTGTGCTTTTGATTGTCGTCCGGGTGACAATATCGGAGTAGATTATTGACCTCTCTCCAGTTGACAGTTTGGAGAGTCCTCTTCCATTTCACCTGATTTCGCAGATTCCTAGCACTTCAATGCCATACCTTCTCACCTCTTTGGCAATCTGGGAAGCCTTGTCAGCCAGCTTCAAACATTATGCGGACATTCCATGTCCATATGCTTACTTTCGCTTTCATCAAGAGAAGACACATCGGCTAATTGGCTTCCCGAAGGCTTTCACCAACTGGCATCATTTCGTCTCCGAGATTCCAGCGAAGAATAAGTTTATGTTTTATATCTACTCTGTGCTTTGGAGTTTCTGTAGCGGTTGGATTGGTTTTACGGAGTAGGGTTGCTAGCTCTCTGCCCAACCTTCTCTCGTCATCCGGAGTTAGGACCGGCTAGTAAATTAGTGAACTAGTACACCAGGCGAGAAGAAGAAGATATTAATTTATTGGCCTATAGAGTTTATTCGTACTAAAGTTTATGCTAGAAAAATTTAAGTCTAAAATAAGGCTTTCAGTTACAGAGTTGGAAAAGATAGTTACTAGCGACTGAAGAAAAATCTTTATCAAATCATTGTTGGTGAAATCATCTAGCCGAGCTAAGAGAGTACCAAACAATTCTCAGCCTCATCATGGTTTATAAGTCGTTTCTAATAAACAAAATTCAGTCACAGTTATGAGAGTTTTAGTAAGGTTTAATTAGGTAGAATAAAGGCCTCTTTTTGTCAAGAAACAAAACGAACTTTCTGGCAATTCAGTGAAAAGACTCACTCAGCAACTTTGTACGTGTTCGTGCAGTAGGTTGTGAAGCATACCTGTGTTTGGTGGATCGGGATTCGAACTCATGACCTCCTGGTTGGAAGACAACTGTTCAAACCAATGGTCCACAGTCACATCAGTGCACCAGTATTCTAATGAGTTCAGTTTAGCTGTCTTCATGGCGGAATGAAACATAAGATGAGACGATTTTCATTTATATGCAGTCACGCTTGCGGTTTAGAATCTGTCCACTGCTTGTATATTACCAAACAATTATTTAACGACAGATGCTTGTTCTAAAACCTTAGTTTCTCACTGAAGCAATAACAGATAGGAAGACTAACGTAGATTTCTGCATTGTAGTGCATCAGTTCAAGCTGTCATACTTCACAACGATACAAAAAGGGAAGGTTGACAAATGTAGATAGGCGTTAAATTAAGAAAAAAGGTAGATTAATAAAATTGTCCAAAAGAGTGAATACATATGCGATACGTTGATTCACTTTTAATTATATCACCTGAAGCAAAGGTATCAGTAACTGATTCTCAATGTTTTAAAGACTGCAACCACTAAGCTTATGGTTGCCTACTCGGTTCCAACCGGTAGTTGGAAACTTCATTAGTTGATACCATGTAATTGTCCGGCTTTAAAAATTCCCGAACATACTACATAACTTGATAAAAAGCGAAAATTTTGGTGATGATTATAGTTTAATATGGGAAACGAAGCTTGCAGATGTTGTTATTTATTCAAATAATGACATGTTAGTCCATATCATATTAGTTCACATAATATGGTACGTAGTGAAACAATACTACTTACTAGACGTTTTCAACACAATTTATGGGTTATACTTACATCAAGGTGCTATTTACCCTCTCCAGTATACTTTAACTGTTGTACTCAGAGGGTAGTTCACTAACTGACATTACAGAATCTGACTCATTCGATTTGATCTTATCAAAAAGAAGTTATCGACTGTTTTCCAGTCAAAGTGTCATCATAGGGATCTTGCTTTACATTTTAATATATAATCTCAAAGCGTAACAAGGAATCTGTCTACATCACTTTGAAGATAGAGAACTGTGTATGAAAAAGTGCTGGTATTTATCAAATCTAATTTATGATTTGTTTTAATTTCCATCATCCTAGGCTGTTCCCTCTGGTCCAAACAGTTCAGATAAGATGGTTTACAAGCCTATTACTAAATCAGTCGATTACGGAAGTGTCTATGACTATCCAAAATTGAAGTCTGGTCAACATCGTCATCCTCATCATCAAAAGCAATGGCAGGAACAGCAGCCACAACAACAGATGAATGTGAATGAAAACTCTGAAATGAGTCTTTATGAGCAAATGGGTATGACAGAAGCTGGTACAAGTGTAGTACACCGTAATCAAATTCATTTGAAGCAATTATCTTCATCATCATCATCATCATCGTCATCAGTATTATCAATGAGAAAGAACTGCACAAATGACAGTCAAGTAAATGCCTTGCATGATGCGACTACAGTTGACACTTGCAATAATAATCTTGAAGATGAAGTGGATAATGAGTTGTCTTCAGCCTCTGAACTGACTACTGCTGCTTATAACGTCAGTTATTATTATTTTCTACTTGTCTTTCTTTTGTTTATTTCTCTTCGATGTACTTTGAGAAGTTTCGTAATTTTAACTAGTTACACTGACAGCAGGTCTGACGTTATTGATATCTATCACTATATCTGTCTGTCTAAGAATAACTGGGTGGAGATCACGCGATATCATGAAATGAGAGAAGTAGGGAACGTGAAGCACTGGATCCCGACCCAATGGACAAATGGCAACATGATGGACGCATAATCTTATGGTCCTGGGTTTGATCCTTGGTGGAGCCATCAGTGCACACTGCTGGGGAGTCCAAATCCAGCAACAAACAACTGTCCAGTGCTCCAGAGTTTCCAGTAGCTCTCCAAGATGAATATCAATCTGAAATCAATAAATAAATTACCACAAACCTCCGAATTCAAAAACAATTAAAGACTTTAAATGAGCCTCAATCTGTCTGTTTCTGGAGTTTTATTATTATTATTTGTCCCTTGGGTTCCTAGTGGAATATAGGGCTTCAGTAGCACGCCTCCATTTCAATCTCTTCTCTGCAATCTTTTCAAATTGGCTCCACAACTGCCCACTAGCTTTCATTTCTTCCTCACACCATCTCCTCCATGTCACACTCGCCTCCGACGCCCATCTCATCGTTTCTCCTTTGAGTTCCACTCAAGGGCCTGATCTGGCACATGATGTCCCAAAACCGTCTTCTCAGTGTATGTCCAACCCAACCGAAGCCATCTCCACTTTCTCCTACATATTTGTTGGGTGATGCGTTCTTGCTTGGTTCGTTGCCAGCCAGTTAGCCAGAGTTCCTTCTTGCTTATTCTCTCTGACCATCTGACCTTCAGTATCGAGTGAGCGTAGGCGGCAGCTGTTGATGTGATGTATGTCTGTAGTTTGTTGGGAATGTTTTACGTGACTCGCCAAATCTCTCAACCACCACATAGAAGTACTGACTTACTTGACTGGATTAATGTTGAAAATCCGGATGTTGTTCACACTTTATGCTGAGTGCAATGCAGTGTAGTAGATCTTGGAACTGATTTCAGGTTAATAAATGCCTGTCTTGCTATCTTTCCGATCCTGGCTTTGACGTCGTCATCTATGTCTGTGTCGCCTGTAGTTGAAATGATGCTGCCTAGGTAGGTAGGTGAAAGAGACTACTTCCTTTAGACGATTGAATTAGCCAGGTTGATAAAAGTGAACTCATGAAAATCATTTTCCTTTACTATTAATCATGTCTACTTTTGTCGCGTTTTGACTTGTCTTCACTTTGAGCAGTCTCTTGAACTCAGAATAAAATAAACTGAATGGTACTGGTAACATCAGTTTCCAGAAGATTAAGTCTAAAAAAAATGGAATCCTTTTCTTGCATAGCCCAGAATATTTTTACTGTTATTAATAGATATAAGACAAAAACAGAACAGCGAAGAAATTGTGTGTAGGAAGGACTTCAGCCTGTATGCTGACCAATTATCGTTCCACAAACTATCCAACGCCATACGAACAACGCAACAATACTGAATGACCGTATTTCAAATTTAATTGATAGAATTTGGTTAATATTAAAACGGGAGGCTACTCTGGTTACTTTCTTGTGTTTGATTATTGGATATATGATGTTTACGTGTTTGAAGGCACGACTTTGGCTTTGGCTGAAACCAATTTGCTTATTGGGCAATCTAGCTTTGTTTTATATATCAACTCAGTTCCAACCTGTATTAAAGGGGTACATTATCGGGTTTATCGAATTATGCAGACAGACAAAATCAACGTAGAACATGGCACACAAGTGCATCAGTTCAAGTTGTCACACTTCACAGTAGAATGCAAAGAATGAACGGATGGGAAGAGACTGATATCGAAAAAGATTAATGTGTATGCGGTGAGAGGAAATTTATAACTTAAAGTTAGTCGAAGCATTCAAACTTTATAGGACATCAAGGAGAAAAAACATCTGCATTATTGTGATCGATTTTCAGCCATTTCACCAAGAATCCCCAACCACTAATTCTTTTCTTCTCGGGGACCCTAGGCAGGTTGTCCGAAACTACCTACATGACTCAGACCAACAGTCAGGGACTTCATGAGTTGGTGGAAGGTCTTGACGTGACCATTCTGAACACTCTTCCAACCCAGTTCAACTTCCTGCAATCTAGCTTGGCACGTCAAGGCAGGCGGTAGCTGGACATGCACAACACCTCTCCAAGCTACCTCAGTCACTGAAGGTTCACAACCTTGTCTACTGAATTGTCTTGCAAGCCCAGTACACTTCGCTTGGCCTCACTATTGCTCACTTGTTGCTTTTATATCATACGCGAGTAATACTACGAAGACACCCATGATCAAAACCCTGTAACCACTTCATGTCTTCTACTTTTAATGGCCATGTCTCATGGTCGTAAAACACGGCAGAACAGACTGCAGTGGAGTATACTCGTCCTATGATAGGTAGTCGGATTTCTCACCAGCCAGCGTCACAGATGACACAGGTTGGCAAGTACCAAACGGGCCTTTGTATCCGAGCTGAGATTTCGTCGTTCACCTTACAACTCATAAACTGATGTCATAAATTTACTTTTTAGAGATCTGTAATGTTGCGCCAACGTTTTTGCACTAATTTTATTCATGTGTTCAAGACTGAATTTGTAGATTTTTCCACTGTGAGAATTTCAATGGTCAATGTTTTTCAATTTTCTAATTTTTTAACAGAATTTTGTACGTCGAGTAGTTGATGATACATTGGATCGTACAGTTACATTTTGTGAACAACCGAAACACGCTATTACAGCCTTAGAAAATATATGCGCAAGAGCATGGCCTCAGTTAGACGTGAAGCGTCATCGTAATCGAATTCGTGCTTATCTTAAAGCGTGTAGACGTAATTCAAAGAAGAATAAAGGTCAGATCAATATGAAAGAACCTCCAGCAAATGGACTATCGATCGAAGCTAGACAGCTAGTGTCTAAAGCATTATTATTGGTAGCTGATGACTTAGACTATTTGAAACACGTAAGCAAATTGGCTTTTTTTTAAGGATTAATGGAACTTGTTTTGAAACTTCACGGGTGAATCAGAAAGATTCATTTAACGTTTTCACTGGGTTGGAAATAATATGATTTGAAGAAAATTTTTGATTGGTTTTGTTTTATACACATTAACCAACACATGATGTACTTAACTAAGCAAATATACTGGAATATTGGAGATAGTAATACAAATTCCTGAACAAAATGTTAGGAGTCATAATGTACATCAAATTTAATCTCGAAAGGAATGCATTCGGTGCTTTCTACAACCCTTATGAACAAGAATTTCATTCTACTAAAGCTATTGCTGCATCTATTTAGGTAGTGTGAGGGTTAAGTCTTAACCTCACAAATTGAATGAATAACTCGTTTATGTCAAAACCAATACAAGGATTATTAATTGCTCTCTTTTTCTATTTTAATACTCATATACAAGTGAGTAATCAATTAGACGCAACATACTATTCTTTGTTTATCAATGTACAGTGTTCAACATAACATTAGTCTGAAATGGTTTAAATTTTTGACATTGAGATGAAACGATGGAAAGATAGTTTAGTAGTATTCCATTTAAGAAAATAAAGAAATCGAAAAGTGAGATGAAATATCATCAATAATAGTTTAAAGTACGTTTCTATCTTTTAATGCTTTGGTTTTAGATACATTTAACTGAAAACCCTTGTCACAGACACTGGTGAAATTTCGTATTAAGATTTTTTATGATGTAGTCATATCAAATTTAAGATTGTATTTAAGGAGAACTATTCAAAATCTGGGAGCACTAAACAGCTGTTTCGTCCTACGTTGGGAGTCCTCAGTGGAACACACCCATAATCTTTTAAGGCGCCAAACCTAAGATCTTTCAGTCTCACAGTGAGGATATCACCTTTCAGACAATGGATTTATACTGTTCATCGTGATAAAAAATACTTGCAGTTGCTTTACTTTTAGATATTTTAGTTATGCTTCAGTTTTAGTATTCATCGACTAATTCAGTGAGCAAGTCTGAGTGGTTTCATCAACAATTCTTTCTAGTACAAAAAGTGTCTAGCTTAAAACATATGTAAGGCGAATGCAAGAAAGTTAGGATCTTGGATACAAATGAATATCTATCTAAAGTTGAAAGATAAGAGTGATTATCCTGAGTTCAATATTGATATAACTGAGTGTAATTGGATAAAAAGGTTGTCCAACACTTTCTTGTTTCCATTGGTCATTTGGCTTTCATATCATTGAATTTAATTCTTCAATCTAGAATGAGACAAAATATTGGTTCATGGATAACATGAAGATGGTTAAGATCGTGTTATTGCTGCTGATGGCTTAAGTTGCTAAACTGATCTACTGTGCTATTAATAATTTTGTGTTAGCAACCTGGACGGCTTATTGGTAAGGGCTGTGTGTTCAACACTGAATTATGAAGCCTCAGATCTCGTCGAGTACCTGAGCCATCTTAAGACTGAAGATACATCTTGCTGATGCGCGTTAACAAATGTGAAGTTTAGACGAAAAAGGAATTCTTGACATTGAGCTCTATTATTTAACGGAGAAAGTTATGTTAGCAAATGGGGTAGGTTGTTTCACTTTTATTTCTGGTTACGTGGTCTCTGATAGCCTTTGTAGGCAGAATGATGTGCAGGTTTTAAATTTATGGCAACTCAAGTTTTCGCTGAACATAAATCATTATCCAGGTGAACTGTTTCTATGTCTGAAATACCTGCTGTCCTACTTCTTTTATATGTACAGACAATGCAAACGGAAAAGACCAAGAATAGACCAATATTCTCCACAACGATGGATAGTTCAGTTCAGAAATCCATCTTTACATCTGGTAATACTAAAAGACCACCTAATCAACAACCACGAAACGTGGGTGTGTTAAACACTTCTAATGTATCGCATACTTATGATCAAAAACACGATCTACCTAATTTATTAGAAAACAATGATAAATTAGAATTTAATAAAAATCTTTGGAATACACCGAACAATTTAATCAACAATATGATGAATAATACAGGATTTCCGTTCACCGATCCCTTATTTTGGTCTAATTCACTTCTACAGCATACAAATATAGACTCGAATTGTTTAACAGCTGCTGCTGCAGCAACCTTAGCTGCTATTAACCCTGCCAATATATTGAAATTATTACCTGCTGCATTACAGCTGAACAACAACAATAATAATTCAATGAATCCATCTCCTCCTTCTCCTCCTCCTCCTCCACCTGCTTATGCTACTTCAGCATATTCAAATAATGACAATCATATTAGTAATACCAATATGGTGAATAACACCAATGACGCTAGCAGTAATCGTGAAGGTAGTCAAGATAAGAAAAGGAAAGGACAACAATCTACACGGAAAGTATCGCCCCATAAATTGTTAGATGATGGATTTATTGATAACAGTTTACACAATGTTGACAATGGTGATAATACTGGTCACAGTAACATGACAAGTTTTTATTTCAATGAAAATAAATATTCACCGATGGACAGACAGTTTAATACAGGATTAGATACAAGTGAACAGTCAAACTTGTTAAACTTTGATAATTCACCTTTTATAGGTGCCATTAGTGATGGTAATAATCTTACTTATTGCTGTCCGCCACCAGCGCATTGTAGTTCAATGCAGTACAGTCCTACGATAAATCAAGCTTTAGAAAGGCTAACACATACAGGATTATTAACTCATGTGAGTTTGGGTCAATAGTATTTTCTGATATTATTATTACTATTGTATTGCATTATGCTATCTGATTTCATCAGAATATTATTGGTGTAATTTATTGATACTTGTAATTTCCTGTTGTTACACCAGATCGATTTCACCGACGTATGTCGGCTTACAAGCTCTTGTGCAGATGCCTCGATAATATCTGAAGGTTCATTATTATTGGTGAAAAGTAGATGTGGTTCAATGATATCATCTCTCCACTTATCACCTGTGCGCTATGGAGTTAACCATGCTTTCTAACTTATTTGTTCAGTTTTACTACCTTTTGGATAATAAGTATGCTTGAGCTCATAAACAAACAGATACATAGACGGACAGACTGGCAGGCAGACAGACAGGTAGACCGACAGAAAAACTCAACATAGAACCTAGCATACAAATGAATTAGTTCAACTCGCCACACTTCACAGTAGTAGAATACAAAGTAGACAGAGTTCTGTGTAAGAGAATAAGCAATTTAAAGATAAAGATTAGTGCAAATATTTAAGTTATAGAAGACGTAAGAATGGATACATACGTGCCACTGTGATCGATTTTCAGTCATTCACCAAGAGTCCACCGATATAACTAGGGCTTTAGTTACTGCAATCACCTGCATCACATTTCTTTACTAATTAAAAACAAGAAGATGGAGACACTATACTTAAAACCTTGATACATATCAGTAGTATGCCATAGAACGTTTTAGAGATAAGAAATTGAAAAGACGATAAGACATAGCAATGTCATTAGTCAGTGTTTGCTTTACTTTGTTACTATTTATTAGTATTTTACTTCTAATGTGTAACCTCATTGTTAGTGAAAAGTATATTTAATCTTTCTCACGAAAGATTAAAACGATAAGGTTTGCTGAAACGATTTCTTGCATTCCACAGGTATAGGATAATCATTTTATCAGTAAGTCACAACATGTGATTTATTAAAGGTTCCATCTAACCATGGTGTTGGATTACATTGAGTTAGAAGCTGAACACTACTAATCAAAAGTATTAATAATACTGAACAGCTGTATGTTTATTTTCTATTGAAGTACACCGGTCACCAGTTTCCTTTTCAACTTATAAAAATGACATGTTTCATCTTTGTTAGGGAATTTGCAAACGCAGATTAATTCATCTTACTGGCTTGTTCTGATTGCTGACCTTTATTCCCTTAGAGATTTTCGATAAGGCTAATCTTCAACTTTATGTTGATCTGTATTGATGATAGTAAGACCGTCCTAGCACTAACCATTGAGATAACGAACTACATTCTTTATTTTATGAAAAACCATCTCAGCCGAAATGCCAATTAGTTGTTTCGTCAGTTGCTAGGGTGGCCTTTAATAGTACTGAGAAATACATTATTTTTGGGATGAATGGGGATTTCAATTTTGAGGTCATATTCGTCACGGAATGACACCAGTTGGGGGAACACTGAAAATCTGGCTCCACCAGTCAGCTGCTTCGCCTTTGTATGGGACCCCCAGCAATGCGCACACACGACCGTCTTAGGGATCAAACTCAGGACCTTCAGGTTTCATGGTGAACGCGTTAACTATTCAACTGCCGAGTCGGAGTTCAATGGTTCACAGTTTCCAATTTGTGTTAATGCGTTCGCCGTGAAACGTAAGGGTTCTGAGTTCGATCCTTGGCCAGATCGTGGGTTTGTACTGCTGAGGAGTCCCACACTAGGACGAAACAGCTGTCCAGCGCTCCCAGATTTTCAATCGTTCCCCAGTTGATGTCATTCCGCGACGAATACTACCTCAAAATACATTGTCGTTTATATGTCTCACCTCGTAAAATACATTCGCTAGAATATTATTACTCTGAGCTGTAAACAATTCAGGGACTTGAAAATGACAATCAAATGATAATTCTAGGGTAAATCTCGGGTCTGTGTGGTAATTATGATGCGTCAAGTCTCAGAAGGACTACTTTAAAAAAGCGTTGTACATGATGTCTCCAATGAGAAATGTGATAAGTGAAAAACTTTTCTGGTCTCAGCCTTGAGCGAACAACAGCTTACCTACTAAAGAAGGTAGTATTGTGACTACATGCTTATAAACGATATGAAAAGATTCACTGCTAGTGTTTAGGGCGCACATTTTGTCTACGATAAAACTTCATAGATGTCTTGGCTCAGGTGACTAAACCAGCAAGTTAGTCCGAGAAACATCACTGATCCATTCATTTCAAAGCAAAATAGTAAAATTTCGATCAACATAGTAGTTTATAGACGCAAATACATTTGGAAATCATATATATGAAATAAACCAGTTTCTGTACCATTTATTTATTTATTAAACTAGTGTATTCTCGATATGTTTGATTCTATGAATATATGGATCATCGCAAAAAAACAGGTACTCATTTCTGTGTATTCATCAATGAGTATGCTACTCCCGAGTAGTTTGCAGTAAACAAGTAAAACAATGAGGACCGTGGTAAGGAAATAAGGTATTTATGCATTGGTCGTATAAGGTGTGGTTTTACTGGTGTAATCCCGGCGTGGTATATGAGAACAAATAACAAAATAACCAAATATTTCACATTGCACCTCAACGTTTCGATCTTACTAGGAAGATCCTTTTCAAGAGCATTAATCTGACACTAAGTTTTCAGGTTAATATTCAAATACGAGTGACTTTCAAGGCTACCCTGACCCTAATCATGTCAGAAAATATTGGTTGTATTTGAACAATATATCTAATCCTATTACGTAATACCTAACTGGTCTACTATTTTCATCCACTTCACTCTCCTTTCTGAGTTATCTACATTCTATGGTCCATTCAATATATGGAATAATACGTTTTGTTATCATTCATACTTCAACCATCGTCAAAATTACTTTTATCGTTATCACTGTTATTATCATTATTTATCATGTATTGTTTGATGTTCAAATATTAATCTCAGCCTTGACGACTCATAAGCCCACTGTACTTTTCATAGTCGAACTAAATTTCCCCACCCTATTTACTTCCCACATTACTTGCACAACTGGTAAAAACCTCTCTGAACGATCTGCTAACTCACTAACCTGCGCTACATTAGTTTTTGTTCCATACCACGATGTAATTGGATGGTTGTAAAGATCACCTTCTGTACCGAAATTTGGGTTGACGTTTATTACCCGGCCCACCTTCCCCTTAATTTACTTAGGGTGGAAAAAAAAATTGGAAATAAAAAATGATCGGCTGATTCCTCTGCTTAAAAGGCAATGCGTTTGTGCGGTCAAGATACTTTTCTATTGGACTAGGACAATTAATTGCAGGAATTTGATTAGTTCAGCCCAGATAGGCTATCTGTATTTAGATTGGCTTAGAAAATCATAATTACTTGTCACATTAAATCTGTTTTAAGAAAGTAATCGCCATCAGGCTAAGATGAACTCCAAAATTAAAATTTGTGGAGAATTTTTTTCTTTAGTGGCAGTATTATGTAATGTTTCAGGGAGCCTGTTTCAAAATATATTCAGTTTAGTTATTGTTATGATACTTGTAATTTCCGTTGCAATATAGAGCCGAATCGCTCGACCTCTATTGGTAGATGGGTTTCTATGCGGATGCCCTGATACTGCTGCTTATTCATAATGTTACATTTGTCTCGGTGACTAGCAGATATATCCAGAACTCGTGTTTCGTCCTATTTGGGCGTTTGAAGCGAAGGGTACTGGATTCGAGCATCGGTGAGAACAACACTACGCACTCGGGTGCAGGTACATCCAGCTGACGAGTCCCGAGTAGAACGAAATGCGCTTTCTGGATTCCTCTGGTGGTGGCTGGGGTCAATATGTATTGAGTGTAATTTATAACTGTGAATGAGGTTTCCATGAAAATCTAAATCTTAAATGTATTGATGAAAAATTTGTATACAATGATAAGTTCTTATCTTGGTAATAATTCGAACGAAATTACTGCCCATGACTGAAACAACAGTTGGAATATTTTGTGAATAATTTGCTGAAATAAAAGCTTACTACTGTTTGTAAGCAACATACAATCTTTTCATAGTTATATTTAAATCCTTGTAGGAATACATTACTAGCTGTAATTTTAAGGATAATAATAGTAAGGAACTGATTACTTTGTCTTGGTAGTTTTGACCAACATTAAGGTGGTCTTTGAAAACCAGTGCTAACTGAGTAATCACCTTCATATGGGTCAATTTTAAAGTGTATCTCCATGTTTGCCACGAAATTGCTACCATGTACTTTGACCCTTTGAAGTTTTTTGTTGAGGGCGGATTTGTTGTTCAAAGTAAAGTATGATAGCGGGGAAACTATTTTATTTCAGCTGTGATTAAGAGATAGCATTTATTTAATTTCTTATGCTTCTAAGAAGTGGTAGTGTATAGTAATTCTTGTTGTTATCAAATAACTGCAGTAAATTGGTTTATGAATACTGCGTAACTATTCATTATTTTGCGCATAAGGGGGAATATAAGAATTTTTGGCGACGCTTCAATCATAGTTAACAGTTTCAGAAAGTATACTGAGTTCAGTTCTTACACTCTTTGTGTCTAGTTAATGCATGGATTCCATCGAGAACTTTCCTAGTTGACAAAATGAGACTTCTAAAATGGAGCAGATCAACAGAAAATTCGCACACAGGTCACACCATAGGTGCATTACTTTTTGAAAATGAAAATGTCGGTTTCAAAAGCATTTCACTGATGGGATGAGGATGTTAAGAACTAACAAATGTTGCGATTAATTTTTGTGGTATCTTCGCAACTAACGCCAGATACACAGGGTGAGGTAAGTATTTCAGAACAACATTGTCAACTGATTTCTAATCATGGCAACAAATTGTCCACTGATCGATGTAATTCACAGTGAATTTTAGGAATTCACAAAGGTAACGTGGCACTTATGCGAACTGGTGATTCCCGCGAAAATCATAAATACAGTTTCATTGACTAACTGGAAGCTTATTACATGACATAGACACTAACATTACACACACTTCA